GTCGCGAGTATAATAACGACGTAATATCATATTATACCATACCTGTATACAGGTACACACGCGGTCTACAGCCGTGTAGGTAGAGTTTATAATATTACAATACATAATGTGATAATAATATAATAGTAATGTGGTGCGATGAAACTGTTGGGCCGAGACAACGAGACGTTATTATACACACGACAGTGGTTTCAATTAAACGTACGATTATATTATTTAGACATAATAATAATGTACACCCGTATATTATTATTACGAGTGATGAATCGCAATGCGATTTCATTCTAAATGAATAATGACGCAGTGTTATATTATATTATATTATTTACAATAAAACCGGCAGCGGTAGGTATATACACGCACTCGGTATATTATTATAATATTATACAATGTATACTGTACAGTATAATAATGACGTATACAGTCTTGTTCCGACTTGAAACAATCGCGGGTTTACGACGAAGTCGAGACAATAGCCCGTGGTTTTGTGCGAAATCATAATCGTTTTAAGAGAAGTTTCCGGTGAATAAAAAATAATAATAATAAATAATTAATATCGAAAACGAATCGATCGGTGTCGGTTTATTTTGTCCACCAGAGTCTTGTTGACAGTAAATGTTATGCACCGCACCGCGTAGCTATTATATAGGTCAGTATTGCAGTTGAAGGGGTAACTCGAGATATTGCAACCAATTACGCGGGTGTGTAGTTACCCGAAGCAACCGCGACCGCGGTAATGCATCGAGAGCATAATTGCATAAATATTAATTATCAACGGTGATAATATTATCGAGTTCAAAATATTATAGTAATTACTAATATTCCAATAATATGTGTCGCAGTTGCACACGTTGTGAGTGGAAAACAGTGTACAGGGATAACAACAATGATAATCGACGTGACGGTGGCTATAATAATAATAATAATAATAATAATATAATTGTATGTGCATGCCAAAGCGTTCGAGGGCGTATTACAAATACTGCTATATAATATAATACAATTATAAGTCCATTTCCCAGTGGCTTGGTATAGAGCGGTGGTTGCATTCAGTCAAGAAACGTGTACAAAGTGTAAGCTAGGGCCTGTGTCACTTGTACTTCCCGGATGGGTGACCGCTGGGGTTTTTAGTGACGAATTCTTGCCACACATACACACACGTGTACCGGTCGATATGTGTGGCCCCAACTGCAAACGGCTAATGACCATAGTTCCGGTCTTAAGATCAACAAAAAAAAAAGTAAAAATGAAATGCCCGTTAAACTCAACGATATTATTTTTATTCCTCTAGAAAACATTTCAATTTGAACTGAATAATATTAGAACCGGACACAAATGGGTACCGTATTATACCTATTATAATAATATAATCATTATAATCTATATAGAAGGTATACCGAATACCCACACCGAATTCTGAACTGTTATTTATGTAGGGTATTATTCTGCACGTACGACCTGCGGCAGTCAGCAAACAATCAATTTGTGACACTTCTAAAAATTTACACGGTGGTGGGTGAGATTAAGATCTGAAGCGGACGACACATCCGCTGTATTGTGTTGTCCGTGTCGTTTCGTTTTTAATAAAATTTATTATTTTATATTGTAGGACCAATAATATGTTTTAAAATACCACGAAACGGTCAAATATAGAGTTCTATGTTGTAGAGATTAAAAAAGGACGGGTCTGAACAAAAAAAATTGTCGGATGCAGTACCTATACATAATACTACATGCCATAAAATATAATATGTATATCATCCGGTTCCGAAAAACTCAATAATATATTTTTTTTCTGCATTCCGATTTCACTACCTCTTTGCACTGTCTGATTAAAATCAACAGAGCATAGTGTGTACTTAAGGTCAATATAAAACGTCCAAGTAATAAATTATAATGCGGCGTCGCGGAAGTACTGGGAAGGCATTCCCGCGGCGTCGTCGGTTGAAAAATGAAAAAAAAGTAATAAATTGTTTTGTATCGCACGATGATCTTTAATTATCTGATAATATTTGTCTTGCCGTACTTGTCGATTGCAGTTTTATTCGTTTTACTGATAATATACCGATTGGAAAGTAGATTTCTTAGAATTGTGATTGTTATATTATTTGTCATCTATATTATTATTATTTTTTTTTATTGGTCTGGAACTCGGCAACTATGGCCATTACCTATTGTATAATTATTTGTAGGGTTGGTGCGGTTGGTTGACAACAAGTCATGAATGTGTGGCAAAGATTTGCCACTATATGGACCCGGGTGGTCACCCATCCGGGAACTAGCGGCAGCGGCCGTTGTTTACTCTCAATCACGTCGAGCCACCATCTATATTATGTACATGTCCGAAAAAATTGTTTCTATTATTACATGGCAACGAAGCGTCAACGAAATATTTACAACGAGACATGTGTATAATGGTGTATATATGGTGTGCTTGAATGAATATAAAGTTCAATATAAATCCAGTGCTTCAAGAAACACGATATTAAAAAACAAAATTCAAATAAAAAACTGAAAAAAATATTTGTTGAAGACGGTCACATCATCATAAAATTATACTATAATCATGTATATTTGTGTTAATTTAATATTTAATCAGGTTGCCACTATAACTATATTATACTATGTTGTGTAATTTCAAGCATACCTATCCTACAAGTGACAAAATATTATGTTACAATAGGAGCTTATTTATTTATTAACTATTGTTAAAAACTAATTGAGTTATTTCCCGCAATGTCTATACCGGCATTCAGTTTCTACAACAAAAACATCAACACAACAAATAAAATGTGTTACTATAGGTTCTTTAGGACATTTTCTCATTTCATTATGTTTAGGACGTTTAGGTGCAATTATTAACTATTCTAAATAATAATATATGATTATTATTTACATTTATTTGAAAGTCTTACAGCGGTACACAAAAAATTTAAATAATAGGTTCAACGGACAATGGACGGTCACCCGCGCGGTGGCGATAAGCCGATGACAAACAAGTATCTTTAGTTATATTATTTATATAAAGGAAGATAATTTCATTGTGGAATCGCACATTTTATATTACATTTTTGGGAGGAGGTGAGAGGACAGTCCAGGTGTCTTGCTAAAGGAATTCTGCTCGTAGTGTTAGTCAGTATTAATCTTATAAAAAACTCAAATGTTACATATCATTAAACTTGGCTAGGTGACCACGAATAACGTCGGGTTATTTTGCAGGGACGCAGGGTTATCCACATCAGTTTTTTCGGTAACTGAGCATATCTGGATGATTTTGTCTAAACTCTAAATTGTTCTCATTTATCTGGGAAGTGCCGACATCACAAATTTATTTTAATATTCGCTCGAAATTAACCGAGGTCTATGTTTTAGATTAGATAGACCGCAATTCACAGTAATATTATGTAAATCGACCAGATAAAACTACACAGTCCATGATCGATAGCTTATGTTTAATTTTAAACGAACATTCGCTAGTCAACGCTAAAATTAAACACATTGTTTTTTAATGGGATTATTTTAACGCCATGATCGTTCGGCTGCCCCCCATTACTTCATTTACACCCAGACAAACAAAGTTCCTGAAGTGTATTGAAACGTTGAGATTTTTTTCTAAAATATAATGATTTTTATATTTTTTAAACTTTATATTACATATTTGTATTGATGGGTTAATACTTGCGAAATTGAAGTATTAATTAATAATTAATATAGAAACCGCTATCGAATAAAAAAGGTTATTAAGATATAGATACCTACTATAATATTAAATGAATTAATAATATAAATTGTTTGTATATTTAATAATTTAAAAATACCTCAAAACATTAATATTCAAATCATCACTTTACCAATTAATAATATAAATAATAATTTAATAGTAATGTAATATCCATAGACAATGATAATAATATTATGAATAATACCTAATACGATTACAATAAATTATAATAATTATTCTGGTCCCCGCGCACTTGAATTATATACACAAATACACAACAATATAATATAGATTATGAACTGGTAATTACTATTGTATAGTTTTCCTACCTATACAGTATACAGTAATAAGTGATGTAATTTGCATTTAATAGAATAATGTCTAATGAATAATAATAATAAAATGACAATATTGTTGCCGAAAAAACTAACCCAATTAACGCATTGGCTCATTTATTTCCGGCGGAACGATTATCAGTTATCATTGTTATCATTGTAATAATTTTAATACCTATAGGCGTATGCCGTATACGTATATTATACTTTGTACATTGTAAGTTCAATCCAGCTATTCATTGTTGCCCATTTGAGGGAGGGAGGGGGAAGACAAGGAGGACAAATAATATGAACTTTTTATAATTTGAAGGACGTTCATCGCGGAAGGGTGAACTTGGTTAAGGATATTTCGTTGATACTGTTGTTACCGAACATGATATTATTATAGTTTGGAATGAACCGAAGAAATTTGAAAGTTTCGATTTACCGACACCTACCGAATAAACCTACTAAATTAATTTATACCTATTTGATTTACAATTTTTTTTGGCTACTTTACGTATTATTAAAATATATTTATATAGTTATATATAATATTATTATATAGATAGATAGGTAGGTACAATGAACAGAACAAATATCAATATACTTGGTATATTTTTTATACTTTTTTTTTATTAGCTTCTAGCATAACCTGTTATATAGCTCAAGGCTCAACAATTTTTAAACAACACTTTCTTAGTATATATTTTGCATTTATACCTTAGGTTATATTCTAAAGATAAACACAATATTAATAACACTTATAATAAACGAATGGTCGCTAACTAGCTAAACATATCATCGATACGACGACGACGACACCGACGCGAATACGAGATAAGAATAATATAAAATATTATCATCGTTATCATGGCCAAACATAATATTATTACGACGAGACAAAAGTTAATTTTACTCCGACGGCCGGATAAAACCCCTCTGCCTAGCTTGTTCTTGGGAACATGCGGACGGTTCATTATCGCTGCGGCCGTAACCGGACGGTGTGCACTTACAAGCGCGCGCTGACGTCCAACTTGACACCGTGCACTGACTTCTGTCGTAAGTCAGCTGCTGATCTAAAAAAGTGTTATAAGGGTCATTTGGGACTTATTTGTTCGTATTACGATGACGTCTACGAAACAGTTTTGCTGCCAAACCGTATCGCACTCCATGCATGCCCCCCACACGTGGTCGTACCCAGTACCGACCACGGTAAGGCACCGTACCACGGTTGGTACACCACCGATGACAACGCGTTTTGGCGTACCCGCTCGGTAAAACCACAGGACACGACAACATTATAATATTATTATTAAAAGATGTACATGCTCTAAAAAATAAAAAGATAATATCGCGCCGGCGAGCGTGAGAAGGAAGAAAAAGGAGAAGTCGAAGAATCGCGAGAAAAGGGCGGCGGTGGCGTGGTGGCGTGAAAAGGAAGAGAAGAGGAAGAGAAAAGAAAGAGAAAAAATAATGATTGATTGTCATCGTCCCGCAGTAGTGGGAAGCGTGGCAGTGCGTCGTGATTGGCCGGCGTACCGGTGCCGCCTACAGCCGCCGCCGCCGCCACCGCCGCGCCGCCGTCGACGGTACACGCGGAGCAACGTCGCTGCTGTCGTCGCACTCTGTAACTCAGTCCCATCACGCGCACCGTACTGCTTGCATTCGTCTGACGTCGCGCGTTCCGTACTGTTGTCTCGTGTGCCAGTCCGTCCGTACGACCGCAAACCAATTTTTCAGTGATTATTTTTTCGTTCGTCATTTATATTATAAAAATTGTCTTACAGTTGTGCGAGTGTTTATTTATCGTTTTGCTCGTCCAGCAATATCGCAGTGCGAGTGTCTCCGGTCACGAACTATAATCTCACCGCCTGGTGAAAAACTGTTCAAATATCCGACTAGCGCGCGCGGTGTTTTTTATCTCCCGGCGTCTGGGCTCGATAGAAGCATCTCGTCCCGAAAATCAGATTTATCACAGCAGATTACAATCGCATTCATCGTCTCTCTGCATCATGGACGGCCCTCCACACATGGGTAATTTCGATTTCATATTGGACCATCACCATCACCATCACCACGGTCGCACCCTCGAGTCGTCCGTGTCGCCGCCATCCTCCGTGGTCATGCAACAGCAACAGCAACAGCAAGCTCTCCAGCAACAGCAACAGCAGCAGCAACAGCAGCAGCAGCAGCCGCCGCTCCCAGGTAAGGCCGAACACATCAAGCGGCCAATGAACGCGTTCATGGTTTGGGCGAAAATTCAGCGCCGGCTCATCGCCCACGACAACCCGAAAATGCATAATTCTGAGATCAGCAAACGTCTGGGCGCTGAGTGGAAGCTGCTCAACGAGACCGAGAAGCGGCCTTACATCGACGAGGCCAAGCGGCTGCGGGCGCTGCACATGAAGGAGCACCCAGATTACAAGTACCGTCCCCGGCGCAAGCCCAAGATCCAGTTGCATAATAATAACAACAATAACAACAACATAAGCGGCGCTCACAACAACAACGGTGGCATGCTGCACGGGTCAGCCGGCAACAACAACTTGCACCATCACCATAGCGCGCATCATAAACAGGCGAACTTTCATAGCTTTCCAGTAGTCTCCGCCGGTGGTGGGCCAGGCGGAGCTTCAAACTTCAATTTCCCGATGCCATACTTCTCGACCGGCCATCACCCGGCCCTGCACTCCTTCGATAGTTACTCGTCGGCAGGACTCGTCAGCCCGTACCTGAGCACAGCCATGCCTTCTTTTGATCCCCTTCATCTGTCCAAACTCGTGGCCCAGCAACAGGCCGTCGTGGCACAGTCTGGAGGTGGTGGTTCCCCATCGCCGTCGTCGCAGATGGCCGGCACGCCGCCGCCCGTGGACATCAACGTGGTGAACGGCCTGCAGCAACCGCTCCAACCGCACCTGCACCAGCAGCAACAGCAACAGCACCACTTGCAGTCGCCTCACAACAAGAACGGCGGCGCGGCCGTGGTAAGCTCTTTTTACAATCAGTTCTATCAGCCAGGCGCCGGTTCGGGCAAGGCAGGACCGTACCCGCACCATCCGATGAGCATTTTCCCATCGCCGTTCTCGTTCTACAACAACGGCGGTGGCGCGGGCGCTGGCGCTGTGGACGACCACCACGGCCAGCAGCACCACCACAGCCAGTCGGCCGCCGCAGCCGCTTTCGCCGTCCAGCAGCACCACCACCAACAGTTGCAGTTGCAACAGTTGCAGCAGCAGCACCAACAGCATCTGCAACAGCAACAACAGCAGCAACAGCAACAGCAACAGCAGCAGCAGCAACAGCAACAGGAGAGACCCGGGTCCACGTCGTCCGACATGGAAAACGATCCGACCAGACAAGTTCCTAACGCCGCCAACTCCAACATTCATTGAACAGATTTCGCACCGTCCGCCAACTCCGCCACCAACCATGTCCGGTTTTTTTGGTATAATATATTTATTATGTTTTTTTTTTTTTTTATACGTACCTGCGATCTCGTCGATGCCGACGATTGATTTAATTTTTACTTCAATTTAGTGCTCGCGCTCCTTTTTTTTCGATAAACGTTTTTATTAATTTATCACCACCCAGCGTGGTAGTTGTTACCCTCCCCTCATCCCCCCAATTTGCCTAAAACCGGATTTTAGTATTTATTGTTTGTTTGTTAGTTTTTTTTTTTTTTTCTTAGTCGCCGTCGACTGTTTTTCTCCTAGTGCGGATCTCCCCCCCCCCTACCTCCCCTTTTCTCATTCCGCGGCATAGAGTGTTCCGTTAGCACCGTGCGCGCAACAACTAACTTTACATATTGATAATAATTATCCTACTCGTTATGACAAGTGTACGCCAATTTAAGTTTCTGATAACAATTAAGAATAATTAAACTATGATAATATAATTTGTGTTAGGGCGCCGGCCCGCCGGCCTACACCCCTACCCCTTGCGCACGCTATTAGTAGCTCTTTATTTACAAAAAAAAAATACAAATTCGGATCTGAATTCGTGGAAAATGACTTTGGTCCCGATTCAGCTTCTACGCCATGTAAAACGATAATAATTTACACGATGATATTATTACAATAATATTTACTTTTCGTTTGTCTCATTAATGATTTATAACACAACAATAATATTGCTATATGTTCATTGTGTATTTGTGTGTGTGTGTCGCCGCACACTTTTTTTTTTTTTTTTATTGTCTGCCGATTTATGATTTATTCGTATATTGATATAACAATGATATAATTGCTGAATATGTTAACGTTACCGGCGATGTTTTGTTCGCCAGTAATGCGCACAATATTGTTTGACTTTGACGAAGATAATAATAATTTTATTATCGGATAATACGGACCATCGTTCGGGCGGCGGCGGATTTTTTCCTCCGCCCACTCGGCGATGTTTCAAACAATATTGATAAATGTTACACGTGTGTATACTTGTCTCTTAGTATACTTTCCTATATATTTATATTTTATTGATATATATATATATATATAATATATAGAGCTGTGTTGTATATATTATATTAAATTAAAACTCATGATGACGATAATAATAATGACAACCATTATTGTTATCCTTACCTATAAAATATCGATTATTATACGCGCATGATAATAATAATAATATGTTGTTTGAAATTAAATTTACATAATACCTACATATTAATACTTACCTATTATTATAATAAACCCTATTGTTGTTATTATTATTATATCTAATTATTATTATTATTACAAAATACGATTTGACTTACTGTTGTGTATTAAGCCGTAGTATAATAATCCCGTGTTTCGCCAGTGTGCGTGTGAAGGCGTACGGGTGTGTGTGTGTGAGCACATTATAATATGACAACATTGTGCTGCGCGTTTACAACAACAATAACCCAAATATAAAACAATATCGACAATAGTAATGTTATCAATTCGACCATAGCCAATTTTTATTTTACCGTAATAGACCAGATATCTTTTTTTACTCTCGTTTGCCGTTCCATTATCAATATTCATTTTTTTTTTTAACCGTTCCGATCTCCATGATAAATGTTTCGTCAATAATGATATTGTCCTCCGAGACGGATAAACAATACTAACAATATCGCTTATCAATCTCGATATGCCTCCGTATAACACTCGTGCGTGCTATGATAACGATTTTTTTGGGCTCGAGTCGACCGCCATTTCTCACGCGGAATTCTATTGCATCATGATGTACTTTTTTTTTACTGGGTTTTCTTAAGGTTTTTATTTACTCTAAATTAATGAATAAACTCAAAGACGGTCGCAGATTTTGGTTTCTTTTTTTGGGTTCGATTTAACCGCCGAGGGGTTTTATTTTTCCACCCTCTCGACCCACCCACCCTCCAGGTGGTGAACTCCACCGTCGCGGGGTCGAGAGATTCTACCAAAATGCACACACGCGCTCGCGCGAACGCACACGCGTACACAATATATAATATAATATTTTATATATATATATATAATATGTAGTGACCTACGCTTTGTTGTTATGTATTTTTTTATCATGTGTACACGCGCGGCAAAACGTGTGTGACCAAACCTGTTGACCCGTTTTTGTTTATTTATTATTATTATTATTATTATTATTATTTTTTCTCATTTTTTTTTTAAGTAGTCTTTAAGTGCCAAAATAAATGTTTGAATGTGTTTTAAAAAAAAAAAAAAATAATGTCATTTATAATGCTGAATTATTCACGAAGAATCTGTGTAATAATATAAAATAGCTTATGAAAATTGAAGCATATATTTATGTATAAATATATATATCTTGTGTGCATGTATACATGTTATATATATATAATTATGTGTATTATATGCTTGTGTCGAACTTGTAAGAATTAAAATGTCATATGAAAACTACTTTGGAAAAAATTATTATATTCGAAATAAATTTTACCTGAAACACAGGTTTGATATTGAGAATTCATCTTTTATTTTTTTCTCTTCCATTCACACTCGTCACGAGTCGTGTCTTTGAATTGTAATTATATTGTGTAACCTCGCCCTTACAGAAGTCTAGGAAACAAGCGACGATAACACGAGTTCAGTCGAGCAGTAAAGTGTGTTTAATATGTGCGACGATGGTATCTAACTTTAAAAGATAAAAAAAATATTATTGTGTTCATGCAATCGTCGCTTGTTTAGGCTTGAAAATCCTATAAACAGCATATTTTAATAATTAATACAATTAATTATTTCGAAGACACCTCCTAGCTCTAGGCAATGGTCTGTTTGGTATGCAAACTAGTGTTGATGCGACATCCGACATGTGTTGTGTTGTTGTAAATATATAATATTTACCTACATACATATTATATAAATTATAATATAATATAGGGTAGGTACAGTAGAGTGGTAGACTAGTCGTGTCTCGATAACTCGAATATCCCTTCGACACACAATTTTTTCTTGCCCCTTAATTTTTTGAGCTGTATTTGTGGTATAAAATTCGAAAAATACACAAGGTTTGTTTTTTTATTCCCCTTGTCTCTTGAGATTCGAATTATCGAGTATATCGACTGCATAGGTATTAAGAAATATTTTGTCTCGCACAATGTGTTTTTTTTTTTGGAGTAAATAGAAAGTCGATGTATTGTTGCTGTTTCTCATTTGACGCCAAACACAAAAATTAACCTTTTTGTTGTCTGTCGGCTCGGTGTGTTCTTTTACTGTTGTCCGTGTTAAGCTCCGACAAAGGCCTCGACCCTGCGGCTTAAACCGCACACTGCTGCAGCATAATACAGTCGTACAATCGCCGGTGGACCGCATATAGTGACAATATATCACAATATAATTTCGGACGTATGAACGCGCTCAGCGTGCTCATAATGTGCGTTATAACAAGAAGAAGAGATCGTAGGTAGGTGAAACGAATTATTTACAGTGCTGGAGATTATAATTTTTATAATACGAAATGACAATCGAGTCCCGTTCTGCTGATCAGTCCGGATGACGGTCTGCAGGATGTCTTTTCATTGGCTATAATATACCTATTGTGTGATGGTAAAATAAAGTAGGTATCGACTCCGTGTGCAGGTATGTATTGTTCTGGTATAAGACGGTATAGACACCAAACGTGCTGGTAAGCGCGTCTCACACATCACGCCGGAACCTTTGGGCAGTAGTCGATTTCCGTTTATACATAGTGGTCATTGTATAGCAATAATATACGGATACCAATGGTGTGTTATCGTCTTGGAAATAATATACTCTAAGGAGTATTATTGTGTTTTCGATATGAAATTTTTTTGTTCCCGATTCTTCGTAACGACTGTTACAATAATATTTTATACGCCGATTCGCCATGACTCATGTGTATATAGGTATAACAAGGATGCATAGCCATGATGCAGTGTTTAGGAGGTAAAGAACACTGCACTAAACATGTTCGTGGAATTATAAAAAACGTAGATTATCTTATGTAGGACTGTAATGTATATAAGTGTGCTGCGCAGGGATGACAATATGTTATGAATTTATGATATATATACCTACCATCTTACCTACCTTCATTCGGTCAGCCTTCAAACACAGGACGTGACAATGTCCTTCTGCTATTATATATATATATAATATAGTCGTATAGGTACCTACCATGAAGACCTGGACCAGATGCGTATGTTATATATATATAATACCTATACGACCGCTAATATATGTATAATGTATAATATGTATTATGTTATATATAAATATTATATACGTCTAAGAATGTGTACACTTCGGCATGATACAAAACATCACTATATGCGCGTGCGGCCTTGTGTGTGGGCTCTTTTCCACCCGCTGTGCGAACCCACCCTGCAACGTTAAGCCAATATTCCAGGAACAGTGTCCTTCTCCCTTAGTAATAATAATAATAATATGGATATTGAATACCTACACTGGGCGAGTCGTTTTTTTTTCTCCACCGCTGCGGTCAAAAACTGTTCCGCATTTTATTTATTTTATCGTTTGTTATTGTATTACTATTGTATTGCACCTCACTATCCGTATACAATAAACTCGGACCTCGGCCCGGGAAAATAATATACGAACAAAGACCCTGTAGACCCTGTGAATAAACATTAAATTATACGATTTTTGTGAGCCAAAACGGAGTATTCAAGTGTGAGACAGAATGCTATAATAAATTCTAAAACACCCTCAAGGTCTCGATGTTGGATTCAACTAGATACATAACTTTTATTATACATATAATATGACTCAATATTACATACTAGGTATAGAATCAATTTCATTATAATTAATACAGTTAACACAACTTAATAATATATTAGTAATCATAGAATAAGTCAGTAGCACGATTTTTTCCTAGTCGTGTGACCCATCACCACTAATGTATGGTGTAATGGAAAAAGTTACTGTTTTAC